GTGCCCCGGGGGAGAGGGGGGTCTCTCTGCAGGGGCGGCTTCGGTTTCCCGCTCTCTTCCCATGTGTTGGGCAGCACATGGTGGGAAGGGGTCGGACCATGTGGGCGGGAGGAGAGCATCGTGGCGCAGCCAGCTCCGGAGGTGGCCAAGCCTGGCTCAAACCGGGGATTTTCCGCAGGGAGAGCGGCTTAACCACGGCTTCCAGGGATTCGGGATTTAGACGTTAAATATGCCAGGAGATTTCTGCCCACTTAGGGCTGAAAATGGAACAAGGGCAATGCGTGGTGGCCGGTGCCGTGGCGTGGGGCCGCGCAAGGTCCAGATGGGACCGTGAGTGGGTGGGCAGTGGGGGGGGGAGGCAGCAGGCCGAGTGTGGGGTGCAGGACATGGTGTAGGGCTCAGTTGGGACTGGGATCCACTGCAAGCACGGAGCAGCAAAGGCAGGGGAGAGCAGGGAAAGCACATGGTGGGAAGGGGTCGGACCATGTGGGCGGGAGGAGAGCATCGTGGCGCAGCCAGCTCCGGAGGTGGCCAAGCCTGGCTCAAACCGGGGATTTTCCGCAGGGAGAGCGGCTTAACCACGGCTTCCAGGGATTCGGGATTTAGACGTTAAATATGCCAGGAGATTTCTGCCCACTTAGGGCTGAAAATGGAACAAGGGCAATGCGTGGTGGCCGGTGCTGTGGCGTGGGGCCGCGCAAGGTCCAGATGGGACCGTGAGTGGGTGGGCAGTGGGGGGGGGAGGCAGCAGGCCGAGCACGGGATGTGGGGTACAGGGTAGGGCTCAGTTGGGACTGGGATCCACTGCAAGCACGGAGCAGCAAAGGCAGGGGAGAACAGGGCAGGGGTGCCTCGTCCTCCTCCAAGAGGTGCTGGAAGTCCCTGGGGGAGCAAAGGGAGTTGCACCTGCTTCGCCAGCCCAGAATTTGGGGAGACTCGAGGCTCCAGCTGAGGCTGACCTCAGGCTTCGTCCCCGATGTTCCTGTGCTGACACCAGCCTCGACGGGCACGGGGAAAAGGTTCACCCCCAAGTCACCTCCGAGGGCCCCAGGATGCAGTGGTGCCCGTGGGGAGGGCGGGTGCCCCATGGCCCCCGTCCAGTGGAGCCCAGGTGGGTGCCAGGGGCTGGCAAAGCTCTGCAGGGGTGGGTTCGGGGGGGTCACACACCCCCATGCGGGAGCCTCGGCTTGGCAGCTTGGCAAGGGGGCTCTGCAGGGCAGGACGGGACGGTCCGGGGGTGCCACCCCCACTGCCCCTCAGCACATGGGGGGAAGGGGGAAATCCGGGCGAGGCCGGGGGAGGAGGGAGCCCCGGCGGGGGTGTGGGGTGGGGCCCTGGGACACCCCCCGCCCCCTCCCCCGGTGCCTGCTGCAGAGCCCGGGGTGCAGAGCAGCTTCCGGGGGTGCAGAGCCCG